GGAGGCACGCGCGGAGCTATTTGGAGGTGGATAAAGGATCGTATGGACCTCGGTGCGAAAGAGGGAAGACCTCAGCAGAATAGGTTAAGGGTACAGGACCTTCTCCTGGAGAGTAAAACGCGGCGAACAAGTAGATGAAGAAGGCGATGACACCAAGATGAGCCCTGCTGTCTTGCGGAATATAGAATGCAAAGCCGCCAGCAAGCAGAGTCCAAGCCATCTGCGGGAAGGTGAAGAGCAAGAGGGCACGTCGTCCATATGTGTCAATAGTCCAGACGGCAGGGAACGCGAACACGAAGTTAATCAAACCGAAACCCCATGACGCAAACAATGACTCAGTAACAGTGGCGTTTGCTTCCGCGAAAATGGTCGACGAATAGAACGCCATGGTATTGATACCGCACATTTGCTGCGCAATCATGACTACAAACGATGCGAGGGTTGCCCGACGGACACGGGGGATGGTGAATAATTGGAAGAACCGAGTGATGTAATTGCTCTTTCCAGCGATCTGCTCCTCAATTTGGATTTGTGAGTACATGTAGTACAGATCCCGAGCTGCCTGGATTGGATGATTCCGTAGGGAAAGAAGGGATTGGTAAGCCCTATCGACTTTCCCTTTTTTGATAAACCAACGCGGGGACTCTGGGCACCAAAAAACGCCAAGAAGAAGAGGGACAGCTGGCAAGAATGCAGAACCCAATTGAAGTCTCCAGGAGACATCGCCGGTGTCTTTTACGGCAAGGTTTGCGCAGAATCCTAGAAAGATACCAAAAGCAGTCCAACTATATAACGATGTGTTAGTTCGGTATTTGCAACCTCGCGAGAAGATAAAAGGAAAAGGAAATAATGAGAAGAAAGTAAAGGTATGGGGTGAGGGCAGCCTTACAGTTGCCAGCACATAACAAGACCACCACGGATAGAGGCAGGAGTGTTCTCGGCACAGAAAATTGGCACCGTGGAAGCTTTAGCACCCATTCCAATTCCCATGAGCAGGCGCGTGACCAGTAATTGGGGCCAGCTCTGTGAAACAGCAGAGCCGATAGGGGTGAGTACACAGAAGACAGCAGAGACAAAGATAGCCCCTCGACGACCCAAGTAATAGTTAAGAGGATCAGAGCACCAGCAACCACTGCATATATTTTTAAGGTTAGGCATGCGAGCAAAGAATAAAGGGGTACCAGGAATGAAATTCCCGGATCTTACAGGAAAGCCGATCCGATGTACGGTCCCCTATAAATCGTTAGTTTTCGATTCGGTAAGGGAGGCTCGACGGGCAGGGGGGATTGCAGACATACGCATTGACTAAACCAACAATCCACTGGTTTCCTCTCCGCATCCGGGTGATCTTTCTCAGGGAGATTGAACGGCTTCCGGGGAATGACAGGTTGGCACCGTTGGAACCAGTCTGATCCCATCCCCTGTATTCCCAGTTCAGAACCCTAGCAAGAAAAGGAATTTTGGGAAAAGGCCAATGCTCAACTTACTGGACGGCTGCACCAATCGAACACAGGATGATGGTGAAGAAGAGGGGCTTTGGTTGGCGCCACTTGTGAAGAACCTCGTTGCGGAGAACTTCAACTTCATCCGGAGTGATGCCCTCAACATTCTCGAAATTGGCTGGATCTTTCGCTACCAGGGCGCCCCTCTGCAGAGTAGGCAAATCGTGATCCAAGCCGAACCTCTGCGCGAAATCCTTGACATCTCGTAATAGGGTAGCATTTGGGATATCCGCAAGGGGGTTTTTGATTCTAGACGCGTGACACGGAGCATTGTCAGCTTCTAGCTATCTATTTCAATGTCGAAAGGCGGAATGAGGAGTCCAATTGAGAGAAGGTTGATCATACTTTGCAGTCAAGTTCGCATTTAGATTGATCCTTTCCCGATCCCCCCTTTCGGCATTGTCAGAGCTCTGGTCAGAGCTGGCGCCGCAAAACACAATATGGGTCAGTACATCAATTTCTTTGTGATTTGTGTGTTAAAATTTTTTTTTTTTTTTAATCGGGCACACACACCTTTCGGCTAATTTCTCGACTTCCTGTTCCTGCTCCTGTTGCTTTTGAGTGGGATCTCCAGACACAATCTCAGAGACTTCGTCCTTGTTGTCTGCCATATTCGGCCACAGGCTGGTCAAAGACCAGACTCAAGATGCAAGGCAGATGTCGGAATATTGCGAAATGGGACGCGAATAAACGAAGGAGACGCGGGCTTGGCAGAACCTTCGCCTGTGGGGAGAGATAGCGAGAACCGCGAGAAGGGCTGACAGACAGAACAGGTGCAGCTGAGGGGCAGAATATATATACGGGGGCGTGGGAAGACGGTTATATATCCTGGGAAGGGGCTCTGGTGCGACCACGGCAGCGCGGAGGGTGAGTATGTAAGCAAGGCAAGGGGAGCTGTGGAATGGAATGTACTATGTAAGGACTGGCCACTCCTGGATGCAATGTACTGCGTTATGCAGAGATGTTCGCGTGGATGTAACTGCTGTACCAGCAGCCCAGGGTAAATTTAGAGCAGAGAAACCTGGCATCAAAGCCCCAAACTCCACGGATTGCAGTCTCGCGGTCGCTTCAAATCGCGAATAAACAATTACGAACATCACAACCTAACGCCTTTACCATTTTAGCTTCCACCCGTCATCTGGGGCCTTGTCCAAACCTTGGAACCCTGTAATAACGCCTCTGACTTCGACATCCGCATTGGTTTAGCGGTGCCGTTCATGTGGAGACAGAAGGGGAAGAGCAAGCAAGAAGCTACAGAGTAAGAAAGGGAGCCCGCGGATGGGAGAAGACGATGGCTCTGGAAGGAGTATGAGCTACACATATCTATTGGAACCGCCATACTGCATAGTCCGCCGGTGAGAGCAGAAGCTTCAATGACAAGATTCCGAGCTACTTCATCCGTCTCTAATCTGTGTTGCACAGCGTCGAAACGTCCGAAGAAGCAAAGAACAGAGAGAGAGAGAGAGAGAGAGAGAAGAGTGGATGACGCTGCAACAGCAAGCAGCAATGCTGAGCGATTGGCCATGGGGGATGCGCAGTGTTGACACAGGTGGAGCATGGCGATTCTCCCTTCCACTCTCGTGAGATGTTCGTTTAGTGTTTGTCGGGGCTAACCTAACTAACCAGCGACGATCCTGGCTGGGCAGAACGCCAAAATAGGCCAACCGTCACGAAAACGGCGCACTCGGGGCTGGTTTAGCTCCGGGACGCCATCATGGGAAGGTACCAAGCTTCCCAGGCAAAAATGGCGCCAGGGAGCAAGTACCAGCCCACTAGTGCGGCCTTGGCCTTGCTTATCCCCGGTTCGTGGTTACTCGACCACGGTTCCAGCACGGTTCCAGCACGGCTATGGTGTTTCTTCCACGGTGCAGTAGCCGAGAACCAACTGGCGTCCATAGCCTACTACGACTGCATCCTCTACGTTGAACGCCCGTGAGCAGAACTCTGATCAATTACGTCAATGCGCCTTGACTGCCTCGTATGTGTGCGTATATGACCAACTCATTTTGCGGTGTTTGTATTCTCAGATATAGGAATTTACCCATCATAACTTCACCAGTTGCTGTTAAGAGACAGGCGGAATTCAAAGTGAATGTCACGCGTAACAGGCCAGTTACCCCTAACTACCTGAGTGAAAGTAACTAGCAAATACTGTTCACGAATAACTAACCTTGGAACAACGGGATTGCTTATATTGTGGTCCCCGCTTCTCTTCCCCTCAGCTTCTGTTCTTCTCCGCCGCCGGGGCCCCCCCACCAGCTGCTTTCAGCCAGGGATCTCGAGATGGGCGACAAGATGTGGAGATAATATCCATGGATCCTGTCTCCACACTCTCCACATTACCCACCAATTTCGCCGATAGAACTAACTGACATGCGACTTGGTTAGAACACAAGGAAGGCGGCCAGTGACTGGACAGATCCCCCCTCGTGTGATTTTTATACACGGATGTCAAGGTTGTCTGTACTACGCAGAATGTATGTACGAAATATGGCCGTTTGATAACTCCTTCGCACCCCAACTCATGTTTCAACTGAGTCGTTAGCGGCTCACGACTCACGAGTGAGCATTGATTCTGTGCAGGTGGACCAGGGAAGGTTCAGGGGTGCTGGCTTGGCAGACGCCACCAAATGCTTTCTTTTTCATCGCCCAGCAATTTCCATTCTACCAAAGCTTTTCATGCTGTGGAAACTCTACTCCGTCACAGGAAAAATGTTGCTCTGTCGACAGATTGCTCAGAGTATACAAGGACAGAATAAGAGCCGCGCTCTTGACAAGCAACAGCAGCAGCAGCAGCGCCAGCGCCATCCCTTGGGAGTTGGCGGGCGAACGAAATGCACTAACTTGGACGAGTGCAGCAAGATGATCATGATCTTCGATGTGGCTGTCCATAGTGGCAGCCGGCGTATACACACACGACCACGCACCTCGAGCAGATGGTTCGACGGCTACCAGGGTTCCACGATACAGTCCCGATTCTTATTATTATTAGCCATCAGCCTTCAAGAGACCGAGCAACCGGAGTACAGAGGTAGAGCAACAACCCTTGGTCATCAGTGGGAACCCTCCCCTAACTATCAAAATTAATAATAATAATAATAATAAGTCAAATGCAGGGCTTTGTTTATGGTTGGGAGAGGGGAAAAATTTTTCTCCGAATCTGCATTTCCCTCCTCCGTACTTCTTCCAGATCCTGGCCACCGTGCCCACCTTGGTCAGAGGCCATAATAGGCAATCTAATCAGAATCCAACTGTGTGTGCCATTTAGCATGAAGGAGAAGTAGGTACCGCTAACGAGAGGCTCATCATACAGATATCACTGAAAAGTGGAGGCAGAAGCTTTTTGACAGGATGTCAAAATGAACGACCAAGAGAAGGGACCAATCAAATAATAAGACAACAGTACTCCGTAAGTTAGGAAAACACAAATGATCAACGCGCAACTATCCTCCAATCGTTTTCGTTTTCCCCTTCACATCCATCTTGACCGAGCTGCGCAGTAAGGATATGCAAAATCGCTCGTCTGACCAAAAATCCAAGTCCCGCCGGCGCCCCCCCCTCCTTGGAACGTAAGCGCACGCATGCGGAAATCTTCCAGAAAACAAGAGAGAACAAAGCCATTCCCCCTCCATCCCCATACTATTTCTTCCAGTAACTAAACCCCACTCTCTGTAAATCCTACGCGATGAAAACTCCGAACCCAGCTACTACGCTGTGCTCGCCAATCCCGCAAAAGTTGGAGGTTCAACAACCCGGCCGCCCCCTCCAACCCCAACTGACACCACCGGTTTTTTGTTCGGTAGGCCGCGCGATTTTTCTTGCAGGTGAAATCGCCCGCAGAAAAAAGAAAGATATACAGTGCATAGTTGCCTCGGTATCTGTGTCTTGTAGTCTATGGACGGGGCTTTCTTATGTAGTTAGTTGTTTTTTCCCCTTGTTGTTTGAATGGGCAGACGGCAATCCCCCCCGCAAACCCGGGTATGTATACGCAGCGTACACTCTTCGTGGTCATAAGGTTTCCCTCAAGGAACAACTGCGGAATAGTTATGGTAAAATTTGAAAAAATCATATTTTGGTTGCGGAGTTATCAGCGTACTCGACCATTGAAAAAGTTAAAAAATCAAAAGAGAGGAAGATTGATAAGTAAAAGAAGTTGGATGCATGCATGTATGGGTGTTTGTCTCCTCCATATCTTTTTCTCTTCCCTTTTAGTTTCAAAACTCCATTATAATCCATCCATACTCTATCCATACTTTTTCTCCGTTATGAATCTTTCCCTCATACCAAGCAACTTTCTTCTCGAAGAAGTATATTCCTTCCATCCATGCATGCGGTAGCGCGGATGCGGATGCCGATACAGTAATAAGTTACCAGCTTTTCCAATTCCTGTCATTTGGGGAGAATGAAGGGGAGAGGGAGAAGAGAAAAAGGGTGTTTCTTGCAAACCGGCACCGCCACGACCCCTTCCAAATAGTTTTAATGGATCCTCTCCCTCCTCCCCCTCCCCCCCACCGTACCCACCTTAAGTACCTACCTACCTATTTCCGGGGCTTCTCACAGCCCCGCTAACCGCAACCCATCCAAGCATTATACGATAGTAGCTTACTAGTCCGTTTCTATTCCGCCAGCATTGCCGCGTCCGGGAGGGGAATCGGACGATTGGACGGGAAGAGGCTTAAACGCAGAAAAATCGGGTTTTGTACTTAGCAACGCAGGAAAGAAGGAAGGACTGGAAAGTTATGGGAGTGTAAATAGAAAGTGTGGGTAAGGCAAGTTTCAAATTTTGCATAAGGTCCTCTGCTGTGCTGCTCCGGAGCCAGGGGCCCAACTTCGAGTCTTGTCCTTCCCTCAACGACTTGTAAGCTTCTATCCGGATCCGCAGGGAGGAGGAGGGATATCTATTCCGCCGGCACGTGGATGTGTTGGCCTCCTAACATCCGCCACCCCTGACTTTGCAGCTTTATCTCGTCAATCGCCGTTAGATAGGCCCGCTAGCAGCTATCACAATGTAAAGAATGTCAGCTGCTCGATATTTTTGTATAGTCGGTCTGATTGGCTTGGAGAACTGCTCAAGCTTCTTGTTCGGCCTGAGAGAAACCCTGTAACATTTCCAAACTGATGCCTAATCCGGGAGAGGGAAGAAGAGCCTCCAAGGAACCTATCCTTTTGTCTTCCGCATCTCTCTCGGTTTATAGGGAATTCCTGTGATAGAATCGCGGTTTTAGAACCCAACACCATGGCCCTAAATATATGGCTAGTGTTGAATTGTGAGGACTAGAGAGTCTTCAGGATAGTAGGGTATCGGGAATTCTTAAAACTTTCGACCCCAGTTGATTGTCATCTTTGAAGGACATTTCTTCTGTCTTTCTCACCACTTCATAAAACACATAACAAAAGAGTTTTTACAAAACCCTTGAACAATGACGAAGATAAACAAATAGAGATCAAATAATCTCCATAACCCATAAGACGTCTCCAGATGATTCGCAGTGCTGAAGCTCGATATTGTGGTTGACTTGTACATAATTGACACTTGCATCGAGACCTGCAGAAATGAGCACGGAACAAAAAAACAAGAAGCAATCAGCTGCAGCTGCAGCTGCAGCTGCATGGGATGAGACATAATTTCGCGTAACGCAGGGAGAATGGAGTATGAAGGTGGCCAAACGAAATTTGTGTTCCTTGTGTGTCTCAGGAAAAGTTGGTCTGCCTTTTTTGTTTCAAAACAGCTGAGGATGGGCGCCACAATGTTGACGTAAGAGGCCGGCTGAATGTTTTTAAGCGTGTCTTTTATAACAGGGCAGAGAGGAAGAGGAGAGAATGTTCTTAAAACTTTCGCATCAGGAAGTTTCCTTGCTGTGTAGATGGATGTCCCTGTGCTGGAGTAGTCTCTCGGGGATCCATAACTTGACCACTCAGAGGCGCTGAAGCTTGGCACATTTGCCGAAACCCAATGCGCCACAACAAACACATACCACTCTGGATGGCAAATGCTTCTCTCCTCCGCACAGTTTTGATCTCCTCCGTCCTAGCTATATTATCCGATCTCATTCGGCTGCGCTCATTTGTCTATCTTGGTTTTGTGCTTGTTGAACCTTATTCCTAGACAATGTCTAGCCCAAAGGATGAGGGGTCGGGTGTCCCCGCTGGCAGTCGGGGTTCCTGGTCGTCGTTCTTGAAGGTGAGGGGGAGACAAGTTAATTGAGTACATTTTTTGCAAGAAAAGAAAAATGATATTGCGGAACATATCCCATCTGCCCTTTGAAATACTTCTCTGACATTTCGATTTGTAGTCAATCGCCTCTTTTAACGGCGATCTCTCCTCCCTAACCGCTCCGCCCTTTATCCTCTCCGCCACCTCCCTCGTCGAATACTCCGCTTACTGGGCCGAGCATCCAAAGATCTTTGTTGCACCAGCCAAAGAGCCCGATCCCGAGAAACGTGCCCTCCTTGTGTTAAAATGGTTCCTTAGCACGCTCCATCAGCAATATTGTAGCCGTAGCGAGAAGTTGGGTAGCGAGAAGAAGCCGCTAAATCCGTTCTTGGGTGAGCTGTTTCTGGGGAAGTGGGAGGATGATGGCGACGTTGGAGAAACACGACTTGTTAGCGAGCAAGTAAGGTTCGTAATTCGTTAGTGCAACTTTTTGTTATCTGATTCCCAGCAATTTTCCGGAGAGTTTGTGGTGTGCTGGAAATGCTTACTCTCTCTGGTAGCCATCATCCACCTGTAACGGCTTATGCAATCGAGAATGAGAAGCATGGTGTGCAGGTAAGCCATCATTCCACTCGATAAGTTTGAGATGCAACTTGTTGACATTAGAACTTGAATCTTTTTGGTTTTCCGTGGCGTTCAGCTACAAGGATATAACGCCCAGAAAGCTTCGTTCTCGAGTACCATAAACGTGAAACAAATCGGACATGCCATATACTCCCTCACTCCGCTACCTACCACAGCCAACCCATCCCCAGAACGGGAAACATACCTCATAACTCTCCCGTCACTGCACATCGAATCCCTAATTTACGGAACCCCCTTCGTCGAGCTCAACCGACATACTCAGATCGTTAGTTCCACCGGCTACGTTGCCAAGATCGAATACTCGGGCAAAGGATGGGTGAGCGGGAAGAAGAACTCCTTCAACGCCATCCTATACCACGAGAGCGAAGGCGAAAAGAAACCTCTCTACACAGCTGAAGGCCAATGGTCCAACACCTTCGTCATCAAAACTCGCCAAAGGCAAAAAGCAAGAAATCATAGAAAATTACAGTGCCAGGACGGAGAAGACGATCCCACTCACCCTCGCCCCGCTAGAGGAACAGGATCTGTACGAATCACGAAGGGCATGGAAGGACGTTGCAGCCGCGATCGGCCGTGGTGACATGGACGCCACCTCTGTTGCCAAATCGAAGATCGAAGTCGCCCAGCGCCAGCTGCGCAAGTTGGAGCGCGAAGAGGGCCGCGAGTGGGAAAGGCGGTTCTTCAAGCGCGTGGAGTCTGGCGAAGATGATCAGGTGTTTCTCAAATTGGCGGAGAAGCTGGGCTGGGTGGATTCCAATGGCAATAGCGGCCTGGAGTCCGATAAGACAGGCGGGGTGTGGAGATTTTTGCCTGAGGCGGCTAAGAATGCGGCTCCGCCCTACCATAAAGATGGGGCCCGCGGTCTGGGATTAGTGGCCGGCGATAACTCATCTGCAGTGGTTGAACAGGCTGCGGAAGCAACGGAGGTTGCGGAAGGCAGTTGAGAAATGAAGCCAGGGGAACTTAAAGAGGGCTCCGCGCCGTTTCCTCACTTACTTCTTACTTTCCTCTCTCTCTCTCTCTCTCTTTCTGAGATACTTTTGTTTCTATCCCCTTCCCAATTTTGGATTTAAAGACCCACTTCAGGACAACAACCGGTTCCCGCCCCCCCCTTTTTTTAATTTCATTTATTTCTTCCCTTTCCGTTCTTTTCCTTTCCATTTTCCTTTTCCTCCACCGCTTTCTGTTCTGAGATGATTCGAAAGAATTTTGATTTTGCATCTGCATCTGCATCTGCATCTGTATTTGGCTGGGCCTATTTGGTATTTGGTTTTACACGTGATTTAAATTCCCGCTTCGATTTTTTTTTTTTTTTTTTTTTTCCATTTTATTTTATATATATTTGAGTAGGAAAATAGGACGAGAGAGAGAAGGGCACTGGTAATAAGAATTTATCAAATGGCCGCCCGTGTATGTATATATATATGTATATATATACAGGGACAGGATATATGTAGGATCCCTCACTCAGCTGGAGTGGTTCCATCAGCGAGGATCGTTTTCATCATTAGCTAACTAGTTAGTTAACTAACTTACGCTTATAACTATAACTATTTTTGATTTTTTATTAACTAACTACGTAGACAACTTGATATAATAACTGGCTGTTATCGTCAATCGACCCTTTTGTGCAGAACAGCCACCAAGCCTGGAAGTCTGTACTGGTATCATATATACCATAATATATTACATGAATATGTATATGTATATGTATATGTAGATGCCATTTGCCATGGGTTCTAGATTCTAACAGGAGATGGGTATATATACATACAAAACATGAGACGTAAAAAAAAAAAGAGAGAAAACCAAGCCATTATTAGCTACCGTAGCCCAAAAACGAGAGGTCCGCATGCATGCTATGTCCAACAAAATGCATTGACGGGAGAGGAGGATTATCCTGGCATAGAGAGGAGGGGGAAGGAAAGCTGGGAGGAAACAAGGCGGGCGAAAAACGAAAAAAATGAGAATAACAAACAATGCTTTGCCGGCTCCAACACATAGTACATAAGGGAAAAAGAAAGAAAAAAGGGGGATAAAAGACATGCCAAAAAAGAAAAATCTTTTATCCGGTATCCGCGTAGTCGGGAAAGGAAAGGGTCCAAAGCAATTAAAAAAAAGTAAAAATAATAATAATAATAATAATAATAATAAATGAAAAAAAAAAAAAAAAAAATCTAAAAACGCCCCATCATCGTTGATAATGTGCCTGCGGATACTCCGATGGCACTGGAGAAACGAATGAACGGTCATACCGCTGGGAATTTCGTAAACCTTCCTGCATCCGCAACCCTTCGGTTTCCAAATCACTTCCCGACTCGACATCATTGACACGACGGCCGAGATGTTTCCACGAACGCTTCGGCCGACCCGCAGCCGCCGCCGCCTTTTCCGCCTTCTTTTCCGCCTTCTTTTCCGCCTTCTTCCGCTTAATTTCCTTCTTGTCCTTCTTCGGGAACTCACTCCCGGGCCCCACTAGCGCAATCGAAGGGTGCACAAGGTTAAACAGAACGAAACCTAAAAACATCGGTACGGCTTCTAGCAAGTAGAAGGCCATTTCGTTCGTGGCCAAGCCGGTTTCCATACCCTTTGAGAACTCGATTAGGCGGTAAATGATGCGGATGGTGATTAGGAGGAGCACGGCGTAGAGGGTGTAGAGGAGGCGGCGCCAGGGGAGGTGTTGTGGTTGGTATACTTCGATCTTGTTCATTAGGTACTGAAAACGGCCGGCGAGGAAAAGGAACATGATTATGAAGAATTCTTGGAGGCCGATTCCGCCCATGTCTGTAGACGTGCACAACGGGTTACCAGGGTGCTAAATTGCAGAAGGAGCCAACGGACGCCGCAAAAACGAAAGGCGCGTAATTGAATGATGGAGGAAGGGAAATCAGAGTAGGCACAACATACAAACATTGACGCCCATTTTTGCCAAGTTCGAACTGTCGGATGACATCAAACTTGCAGACGACGATTGCACGAACATGGAAAACACATCCAGCAGTACAAACACAAGCGTAATGCGCTGAGCGCTGATACCGAAGATCTTCTTCTCCGGGATGTAGAAATAGATCATCCGCCCCAAGACCATATACACAAAAGCATTTAGCCAGACAGGGGCGAGAATGATCAATAGTTGTTGTGGGATGAAGTGCCATAGACCATATATCTTCTTCGCGGAAACTACGCGCATTGCGAAGCCGCCAGTTTCCCATAGGACAGCCATTACGATCACCCAGCAAAATTTCTAGTAAAACAGGAGATCCAAGTTTTAGTATATCCACTTTCCCCCCCCCCCCCCCAGTTTCGAATTCAGAAGGGAAGTTAGGTAAGGTGTAAAACGCACCTTTCGGCATGTAAACCATTGAACGATATGAGCCAATAAAGTTGCTGCGTAGAGCGAGGTAAACAGAATGGCAGCCTCCACAGAGGGACAATATAACCACCCAACAGTCTCCGAATTTCTCTCAAAATCACAGCGGCCCATTTTTGTCTTTTGCTTCCGTGCAGGAGAGCCTCGAATCACAAGGAGAGACCGGGAACAAGAGAAAAGGCCAAGGTGCACCGAGAACAGATGAGTAGTGAGATAATAAATATAAGGAACAATCTAATTCTGAGATAAGATGTGCGCTGAATCAAAACAGCTAGAAAATCGGGACATCCATGATGACTTAAATAAATCGTCACCTCGCTCCGGCTTATTGCTTGACTGCATAACATTGAAGTCCACTTTCATCAGACAAACCTGTAATGTTTTTTTTTTTTTTTTTTTTGGTCGATGCTAAATTTAGATGACAGTTGCGAGGAACCAGTCCTGGTTAGTTCGACCTGATGATAACAGGAAAGCGAAGCATTTTCGAGACTTCTAGAGTATCAAAGAAGATAGTTTCGCACTTGGACTCCTAGTAATGATTGTAGAAGAATCCGAGAGGATTCGTCATTGCCCGTTTGTGATGATACTTGTTGCCCCTGCTGCGACGGGTATCGATACGAATATTATGGCCTTTTTTTTTCTCTCTTAGCTCGAGAAGGACGTTATCGAGCATGGTGATACGTTGTCGCTGGCTAGCACTCGCTGTCAAGCCACGCAAGACCAACTTCGCAAGATCCTCCGCGGTACGCAGGTCAGCACAACCCCAGCAGAGACACGAAGCCCTCACCACTGTGGTTTGGCAGCTATCCGGAGCATGGGCCAAAAGTTCAAATTAGTATTTTATGTGTGGAGTGAGTGATATCGCTGTTTAGTGAGGTGGTAACCGGGTGAGGTGCTCCAACCAAGGTTGACCCCCCTCCCCCCCCCTCCCAGGGATATTCGCGATCGGAACAGATCCATTTGCCCAGGGGTTACGTGTGGGTTCGCCAAATCGAGATAGCCCGGTGTTATGTAGTCACGTAAATGAGATCTCAGGTTTTGATTTTCAAAGGGTGGAGCCGAGGTGAGCAGTGGGATCCGGGGAGCGACATTATCACCGTGGAGGAGAAACGCCCAGAGTGACGGATATGAGCGGAGCTGCGCTCGCACCGAGAGCCAATCCGAGCGCAGCGCACCAAGAATTACGACACCGGATGCAGCCCTACATATTACTCCCGACTCCCTACTCTGGTACGCAGCATTTACGCCACACGCCACACGTCAGATTAGTTCGTTGGCTGTCGTTTTCATGACGTTTCCCACATTTCCCACATTTCCCACACCAAGAGCCGCGACGAATTTAAACGAGGGCAGAATCCACAGAAGCGGCGCTAGTGCGGCCTCTGCCTTTTCGGGTAATTGATCTGTCCCCTCACCGTGCTTGCTATAAATATAACTATATAATTGTTCTGCCTGGCGTGTGGCTGCATCCACGCAGTTCATCAGATGCTGTTGACGACTGAAATACAAGGAGAGAGCGCCTTGGGAACCCGGCATGGCAACGTAGGCCCCTGCTCATGTCATGGTAGTGAGTGCTGTCCCCACGGCAATTTCACAGGATTGAGAGCGGCATTACAAAACCAAATTCCGATTCTTTTTCAATTTCATGGTTTGGTTATATCCTCAATCTGAATCAATCGAAGCTATAGTTTATTGGCAAAAAAAAAAAAAAAAGAAAAAGAAAAAAAAGAGGGGGTAAACGAGAAAAAAGCGAGTCCAGTCTCCCGAAGACGAAAATGTAATATAATTGTTACAAGAATGATTTGCTGTGTTTGTTGGGATTTGGAGGAGAGGAATCGACATGAAATCTGTATGAGGGCAAACGAAAAAAAGAGAGGAGCTGATAGGAGGAAAAAAACAACCAATAAACAAAGCTAAAAAGGAAAAATGATCACGTATCAAAACCTTTTTTTTTGGGGGGAAGGGCCAGGGGTCATTCGCAAAAATAATAGACCCTGTTGCAAGACAGCCAATAAATCAATAACGAGACAAAAGGAAAAGAATCATCATTAGGGAACAAAACGAAGGAGAGCACACGTGGAGGGCCGAAGGGCCTAGTCCCAGCGCTGCTTCCAAACGGCCTGTGAACCAGTTCATTTTGTGGTTTGCTTCTTAATGACCGTAGTTGCCGCCCCATCCTCCTCCACGACCGCTATTTCCGTAGTAATTGCCACTAAACCCTGCCCCGTAATTGCCATATCCACCGGCTTGGTGATGGGATGCATTGGCTCCCTGGTGATGCGCTCCAAGGTTTCCTAATCCACTGTATTGTGGGTTAAGCTGAGGATACCCCCCGAATCCCTGCTGGCTTGTTGGTTGACCCTGTGCAGGGGGCAAGCTCGTCTGCCCAGCCTGGGGTTGGCCAGGACCACTGTTAGTTGCGGATCCTGGACGGTTTGCTTGAGCTAAAGATGGGCTTGGCCCGCCTGCCTTGGGCGCTTCGAATCCCTTTGCCGTTTCCTCTGCGCTCACTGGCTGCTGTTGCGCAATAGGTTGGCTTTGGACAAATCCGGATTGTGTCCGGCCGAATACGTCCGGGATTCCGCCGAAGGCAGTATGGCCTGATGTTTGGGCGTCCGACGGCTGAGCAGAGCCTGTACGGCCATATCCTGCTTCGCGTCCAGGAACATTTTGGTTGAATGAAGCAGCAGTAGCCGGAGAAGAAGCATGATCATAAGAGAATCCATGCTGAGGCTGCGCGTACATGCCGCCTTTGGCGCCGTAGGGAGCAGCATACTGGTTGCCATAACCAAATTGGTTGTTGTGAAGGTAGTGTTCTTCGTATCTCCTTGCGTCATCGTACATCGGGCGGTTTCTTCCATATTGATGCTGGTTCATTTGGCTCATGTATGTATTCGCATAATGGGGGTTGGAGTAATAGGGATAAGCATAGTTGTAGGCACCATGAGCACCCTGTGCCTGAGGGACATGTTGAGCCGGTTGTGTAGTTTGGCCAGGCAGTGTGGGGTTAGGTGTATTTTGACCACTGCTTGGAGCTTCAACATGGGTGAAACGGCTTGGCGGTTGCGTCGAAGCGACCTGAGGTTGCACATCGGCACCACTGACATTAAATCCGCTCCCGGCCCTCTGTTGTGTCGAAACGCCATCCTGGGACTGGCCATATGAGCCATAATAGTATGGGTTTCGTGCCTGGTCGCCTCCGTAAATTGCCGAATAATCTGCGGCGGTGAGTAGGCCGTGGCTTGGGATGGGATGGGAGCTTGGTTGGAAAATGGCTC